CCGAGCTCGATCGGCAGGACAGCTTGGACGCGTTGGAGGAGGAGCGTGACGTGGCAAAAGCCCGTTCCGCATTCTATCAACAGCAGGCTCGAAGATACCAAAGCAGAGAAGTACGGGCCAAAAATTACAACGTTGGCGAATTAGTTCTACGACTACCGGACAAGAAAAAGGACAAACTCAAGGCCATGTGGGAAGGTCCCTTCATAATTGACCAAGTCCTGACTGGTGGAGCATACCGCCTGCGGGATGCAACGGATAACCGACTCGAGCCAAACCCATGGAACGCAGCCTGTCTCCGAAGATTCTATGCCTAGCGTCGGACTCTGTGTTCGTCTCCTTCCTCTGTCCATTTTTTATATTTTCTGTCTTACATTTCTCTTCTTCTTCTCTCTCTCTCTCTTATAGCCTCTAAAGGCTCATAAAGTGACGCGCTATCCGCGCTCATTAAACCTGGGGGCTTCTTTAAACAGAAGCTTATTCATGCGGGCTTCATGCCCAACACATGTGTCACACTTCCGCATGTACCTTTTATTCACCATTATATGCATCGATATGACTTAAGTTTTAGCCAAGCTGGGTTGCCTGGCTCCTGTGCTTACCCCTACGTTCCCGATTGTTCGGCTAGGTGGTAAAGGGAGCACCTCTGCGATTGTTACTGCCGGGTCAGCCGGACGTGTACCTCGGACTGGGTTAAGCCGAAAGCTAGCGTTCTTAAGGGAATATTCGGTCGGTGAACTAAAGATGATCTTTTTTTATTTTTATCCATACGCCCCCAGATGTTTTTCCTGCGTTTCTTTTCGCAGCATGGACATGCACCTTAGGGCATGCCTCCTAGGGAAAGGAACCCCTAACGGAACTATTCTCCCTGGAAGATGTTTCTTACTAACCATGTAATATAACATACCTAGTCAGGCACTTGTCTGTTCACTCCCTAATGACCCCTACGCCTGGTCTCCATGCATTCCCCGGTTCCTATATAGCCGCATGGGAATTCGGACACACTCCGGACCGTCAGGTCCCGAGGCTGAAGCGAAAAGGTCGGCCATGACAAATGATCTACAATCCGGCTAGATGGCATTATAAATGTCAATTAAATTACATAGTCATTTTGTCTGGTTGTATTCCTCTTCAATACCATCTAACAGGCTGTCTAATTTACAGTCCTGCTGGGAATACTTTGCGGCCAACTCTACTTGGCCGTATACTAAGCTTATAGGGATCTCCTTCCCATCGGGCCCTACAGGACCGACCTCGGCCATGTGGTTGGGGTCAGCCTTTGCGTACCGCGTCTTCGCCATGGCCTAGGCCTCCCTAACGCCTTGACGGCAGGCTGATATCTTCCACAATCGGAAGCACCGCCGTGCTCCCTTTAGCTTCTCCGCAAGCTCTCCAAGACCTTCGGGCATGGAGACGGATGGCCACAGGGCCTGGGTGACGCCTTGCATCGCCTGCCGAACTCGATCGAGCAGTTGCGAGAGCTCGGGAAGAAGGTCACCCGTAGAACCGGGCATCTCCTCTGCAGGACGACCTGTTAGCACACCTACAGACATTGCTCTGTTAGTCGACTTCCCCGCCGAACTTTCTTTCAAAAGGTTCGTTCAAGCACTTACTAAATATGCCGCGCCGAAGCCGCTGATTCTCCTTCACGGAGTCTGACAGCTAGGCACGAACATCTTTTAGCTCGACGCCCAGCTTGGTGTTGGCATCTTGGAGATCGTTCTTCTCCCGCATCCCCTTTGTCAGCACCCTCTCACCAGCCTTTAGCTGGCGTAGGAGGTGTTGCTTTTCCGGATTCAATCCGGTGCCATCTGCAATTTCATTTGTCAAATTCGCACCAAAGCCGTGCTTCGCAAAATACTTATCTTTCGAAGTGTATATTACCAGAGGGGATCTCCTTAGGCTCCCCTGCCGCGGCTAGTGCAGCCTCAAGTTGGGCTTTGCACTCTTCCAGCTCCTTGGACAGTAGGGAATTCTTTTTCGTAAGAACCTGCATCACAAATGATCCTTAAATCAGTTATTCTAACTGTTTCAAGTCTCGGGGGCTACTGGTATATACATATAATTACCAGAATTTTCTTACCCGTATGTCTTTTACATACTGCTCCATGGCTCTGGTTAGACCATTTTGAGCGGCACGGAGATACGCATCTCCCGAGTTGAAGGCATCTGACGCCCCTTGGGAGAAACAAGCGTCGCCAAGAACTGTCCGGCGACGCCTGTGGTTCATGGCACTCTCCACCTCAGAGTTGGCAGACAACCCGTCCAGATCCTCCTTCGGAGGAGCGTCTGGCGCGCGCCTTGCGTTCGCCTCCGCCTCCTGACCAGGCTTTGGAGCCTGGCTGGTGGAGGCGCGATTGGCAGTCTCTCCGGATGTAGTCCGGCGAGGTCTCTTTGTCCTGAAAAGAGCGCGAGTGTCAATATGCCTCTAAGGTATAACACCTGGGATAAGGGGGCGCGCCATAGCTTTGCGCTGACGCCTCGGTCCGGACTGCACTTCTTTTCTGCCCGTGGGGCCCTACAGCCCCTCGCACTACTAGAAATCCCCACATTTTCGACGATGAAATATAATAGCCGATGGGTCGTCGGCCTTTACTATAATAACCGACGGTGGTTGTAGTGGCCGACGGTTTTTGTCAACTCACATACATGGCTGCTAATAATCGACGGTGCACTATATTTCCCGACGGGAAAAATCCAACCCTCGGATATCCAATATAATGCCTGACGGTTTATTGTAATATTCGACGGTTATGGCTATACCCTCAGGGATTACATGTGATACCCAACGATGAAATTTAATAGCCGAAGGTCGAATCAAAACTCTCGGCTATGAGGAGAAATGGCCGACATGTGATACTAATAACCGACGGTGTATTTTCACCCTCGATGATATGTTTCAATAGACGACAACAATAAACATGTAGAATGACCTATTGTTATATTGCAAATAATTTATGTACAAGTAAATTTCCAACAATTAGGTTCTAGCACTGCTATTTGTAAGTGCATTACTGTTTTTCATTAATTGGATGGTTAAACAGTGATCTGAAACAATACAAATATGATGGTCTTTCAAAATGACATGTTTGAAAATATGTACTTACAAACTATCATTAGGTAGAGCCCATTGAGAGTTGAGAAGTTGCCGTCCCTAGCCCGATCCCTTGTTTTCTCTGACCAACAGAGAAGTGAAAGATACACTCATCAAAGTCTTGTATAGACAATGTTTATGTTTAGGTTTCATTGTCACCGTGTGGTACATGGCGTCGGAGTGTGTTGCCGTCGTGGTGACACATAGCATCTCAACAAAGTGCAGTGCGTTGCTGTCGTATCCGAGGAGTGGCTAGTGGCTCACGGATGCTCGTGGTCCTGGTTGCTGGCCAGCTACTTCAAAGCGTATCATCGATGGAATCTCCTTAGCCACCAAGGGATAGGGAGGGAGAGAGAAACCCTAGATGTGTATTAAACTGTGATGATTTGCCGTCGCTCTCGCTACATGACTAGGTTATAAGACTAGATATTGACCAAGTTGATGATGAAAGCTAGTCAACCTTGACCCAGATTAATGGTGCTCGTAGAACAACAAATATGTTCTTAATGCACTAATGGAATCTAATAGGGGTAATTAATATATTTTTAATATTGTTTTGAATTAATATAGGAATTAAAGAAAATATAAGTATAGAATAAGCATTAGAAAAGTGAGAATTTCAGATCCACGGTAGAGGAAGTCCAAGATCCGATCGACCTGAATGTTTTACTTTCACAACGGTTATACTCCATGTTCGATGGCATCCTTCACGCAGTCGCCTCCTCCCCAAACAAATTTAGGGTTTCTCTGCTTTCCGCTGACGCTGCCATCGGTCCACCTCGTCCCCGGTGGCCTTATTGCCATGGCAACATGGTGGATCCCGACACTTGCCTGCATAGGGCTTTGTTTTTATATGTTTCTTCGAATTTTGTTAGGGTTTGTGCACGACTCAAGAAGACGAGATGGTGACGGCTCTCTGAAGATTGAATAAGGTTCTTCCCGTCTAGCCCCCGTCCCGGTTGTGCATCTAGTATGGTCGGTCGGCGTGTGGAGGTGTGTCTCGAGCGGATCTTTCATTGGTGGATTTGCTCGGATCTGTTCGTAGTTCGTATACGTTCGTGTGTCTTCAGGTTGGATCATTACGATCAACACTACTCTTCAACGGTGGCGGTTGCTGTTGTGGTGCGTTGGTCCTCTGGGGTCTTAGCACGACGACTTCCCAAACAAGTTTTGTCTGGCTCCGGTGAGGGAGGGGCGATGACGAGGGCGCACCTTCGGCTCGCTTCAGTGCTCGTAGTCGTCGCTAGATGGTCTATGGATTTAGACATAGTTTTTTTTGTTCATTATACTACCATGATTAAAAAGGAATAAATCAGAAGTTTTCCCGCAGATGACAAATAAGCCTTAATAAAAGGTATGTTTCTCACTAGATTGCATTATTTTTTTCTGTTAATTTCGCACAAAGAAAAAAAAGTGGATAACTCATGCGTATAAATGTTTTGAATATTTTTCCCCTAAAAAAGGACTTCTCCACAACGGAAGTCAAAATGTTAGGAAAGCGCGCGGGCATTCCAGATTTTCTGGCGAAAAAGAAAAATAAAATTTCGGAGTCCCGCGGGTTCTTCCTTTTGGCCAACCACACCCTGCGTCTTGTCCGGTCACTCCCCACCACCTCGTTCTCTCCTGTCAAAGGAAGAAAAAAAACTCCGCCTCAACCCTCCCGGCCGGCACGGCGGCACCGGCTCTCCCAGATCCACCTCCGCCTTGACCTGCCGTCCCCTCGAGACAGCACCGCCGCTCCTCTCGCCTATCTTCGTTGCCTTCCTCCTCTCTCCTCCAGCCGCTCTAGAACCACCTCTCCTAGATCCCTGCACCACCTTCCCTGATTCAAGTCTCTGAATCCCACCTCCGAGCGCCGCTACTACCCTCTACCCTCGACTCCTCCGACGTGCGTCTCACTCTCAGCTCCATGGATGCCCTCTTCCTCGCGATCTGCGTGCATCATAATATACTCGTTGGGCAGAGCGGGTTCTTCACCGCCAAGCACTCAGACCGCTGGTCCAATCAGCGGTGGACATTGTCTCACATCAACCAGATCTCCGACTGCAACAACGTGGAGGTATACGTCGAGACTCTGTGCCTCATACGCTGCAAGGATCTCACAGGAGGCTGATGAGAAATGTACGACCCATTCATTTTCCTTTAGCAGATGGACACAGCGGCGGCTCCGTCCCCTGGTCGACACCTTGCTGGTGCTGACAGGCGCACTCTGTGTCGCTGCAGCAGAGCAGCGCCATACACAATTCGCCACCTTGGCCGCCCTCACTCTGCTTAACGCCCCCCTACTTTTGCAATGTACAGCAACAACAGGTGGACTAAATTGCTTGACATTTAAGCACTGTTTCAAATAGCCCGCTATAGCTCCGCTATAGCACGCTATAGCGTTTACAGAAAGTCTTGCGCTAAGAGACTTTGGTCCAAACAAATGAACAAACATTTTAAATACCGCGCTATAGCTCCGCTATAGCATGCTATAGCATTTGAAAGAGGTCCGGCGCTAAGATGCTTAGCGCGCTATTTAAAACTTTGCATTTAAGGCAGCGAGTTGATGCCATCAACGTTTGATACAGGTAGATGTACATGTATATCAGCTATAACTTCTCTTACCAATTTAGTAAACAAATCTATTATTTTGTATACTCTCTTGAGCATTGCATTGCAGAATCGTGGGAGAGTTTAAGTTTGAAGCATCCCCTCAATCGTACTATATCTATCTCATAAAGATCACGGGTGTGTTCTCTCTAATATACTTCCGTGTATATGCAAGTTTGTGAATTTCTAAGAGATACAGTTGGTCTACAATACTACCAGATGTAGTAGGAGACCATTTTAAAGTGTCGATGTCATGATGCACTAATTAGTGATAGAATGGTTGCATTTTCCACCAATTTCCTGATAATAGTTTATTTGATTATTCTTTTTTCAGCAGAACTAATGTAGATGTGTTGAAACAATCTTACGTTGCCTGTTATAGATTATCCATTTTGGTTATCTTGACTACGAAGCATCGAGTTCTGTTCCATGATTCCTAAATTCATACTTTATGCAAAGAGGAAATGTTCCAATTCCTTGTGGAACAAAGGCAGTTGTGGAGAAAGTAGCTTTTCCAATTTGTCTTGAAACCTCACAATAATTACTAGATTATTAGTATTCACTTATAGTATTCATGCAGGTAAGGGTGCCATTGCCTGAGATTAACTGATGGTTGTGCCACTTAACTATTCTTCAGGTTATTGATATATATATCTACGGTTCACGACTCCTGTATGCCCAGTGAAGGACATGATAAGTGCAGTGCTTAGTGTTTGCTTTCATTTTGTTTTTGGATTTGTCGAGTTTATTCGCCGTGTCAAACCTTTCAATATGTGGCTTGATGTCTTGGTTTTATGTAACAGACCATTGTCTTGGTCCTTTCTACTACTGCACAACGTCAACGTCATTGTCCAAATAATAAAAATCACGACTGAAATTAGCAAGCAATTGACTTCAGGCATGCACTAAGACACACCTTTAAGACTAGTACCATGAGAGTTGGCACTGCTGTTTTGTGTGAATACTGTGCTCCAATTTAGTCGTTACACATTTATTTAGTACTCCTTAAGAATAACATGAAACAGTGTACTCTTATATGTTCAATATTGTGTCAGGACCAGCCTCTGGCTGCT